TTCAAGAAAATCCGTGACCTAAACTGGGAGGTGAGCTGGCAGAGAACGACCCCGAGTAGAAAGCAGCTCAAATGAAAAGTGTTTGTGGATCATCTGAAGAAACGTCGACTGGAGATACGTTTATTTCTCGACGGTGATAATTTTCTCCACCCAGATTTGATCTCGCAGCTGAATTCTGCCGCCGTGTTCACATCACTCACAGCTTTAACGCCTCGAGTCAACCTGAGAAAGTGGATCTGCCGTTATCTGTGAAGTAAACTGGGCTTAGCTCGGTTTACTTCCCCTTATTTCCCTGTAAACGTGTGCGTAACGCCTCGGCTTCTCTGCAGCTTCCATTTCTGTCGACTTCGTCCCGTTTTGAAGTGTGACGGACGGCTGCATCCTCGGCTCCCGCTTTTAAAGGCCGGCGTTTCTATATGTGTCGCTCCCTTTTGGGATCTAGGTGGTTATATTTAGTTTGGGGTTTTGTCCACTGTGTAATGAAGTCCACGCTGCGTCTGGCCAGGAGATGATAAGCCTCCTCCTTTTTTTTTTCCACGGGAGGTAATGTGGCGGCTCGGGGGCTCCCTTGTCTCGGGTCCTCGCCGAGCCCCCGAGAATACTGATCACTGCCGCGGATGCAAATGAAGCGGGGAACTTTCCTCAAGGTCGGGAAAAAGATTCATGCAGAGCAAATTAAGTGAGATGACTCCTCGCCCGTTGTGGCTTTTTAAATTGCAACGGGCCCGGCAGAAATATGACACATCTCCTGCTTGGTAATGAGAGCATTATTTCCCCCCCCCAAAAAAAGAAAAGAAAAAAAATCATCTTTCATCACTTTTCTCTCTCCCTGTTCGATTTACGCCTCCTGTACTTAAAATTCAACTACAGGTGAGGAGGCAGTGTCAACTTTAAGATGCATGGATTCCTTTAAGAAGGTGCTTAAAGCTGCAGAGGAATCGATCAAACGGAAACAAAAGCAGATGAAGTGCCTCAGCAGCGATAACGTCTACAATGTTGGGTTCAGCCATGTTAGTCATAATTCACAAAACGGGAATAAAACCAACCTTAACCGGGTTTTAACTGGATTTTAATCACAGCAACTACCTGCAGTCATCATCTGTCAATCATGGTAACGTCTTAAAGCTGCACTGGTCAATATTTTTTATGTTAACGATGAACCAAATGAGCATTTTTGTTTCCCAGCTTTACCTTATTTCCAGCAGGATAAACCCACTGAGCTCGACAGAACAGCACCAAGATCAAGATTAGCAAAGATGTGGTGTAACATTTAGAAGTTAATGAATCCCTCAAAAGTTGGTGGAGACCAAAACAGAGCAAAAAATAGGATAAATATTGGACTTAAGCCACCCATCAGTTGGTTTGAAATGTATGCTATCCCTAAATAAAATGGCAAAATTGCACGATTTATCTGCCAGAAACTGTAAAACCAGAAACAATTGTCAGATTTTCCGACATTCCACAAACTACTCACCAGAAACCGAATCTAAGCGTGAAATCAAAATATTTAGCTTAAATCACCATATTCTACCCATTTGATTTAAAAATTTGCCAAAAATCAACTGTTTGCTCAAACTGGATTCTGTAAAAAACAAAGAATTCTGCGTTTCTTGGGACAAAAGTGAAGCCAGGAGTGACTCAGCTGTGACCAGCAGTCATGCGGCAAAAAATTCAACTTTTCCGCTGAACTGCAGGCTGTGTTTACACATAACAGAGAGGAGACAAGCGTAGGAGTTCAAAAGATGTATGTATGTAGGGTATGTATAGTTTTTACCTGTATTGGTAACACCTGTGGGAGCTTGGAAAAATACTGTTCATGCTGATTCCAGTTTTTTTTTTCCATTTTTATAAAGTAAGCAATCCAAAATATTCAACAGTTTTTTGTTTTTTTGTGTGATTTCTGACATTTTACTATTTGCTTACAGGGGATCCAGGAAGTCTTTGGAGTTGTTGGGTTTTCATGAGTATTTCTGTGGAGTCAATACGTTCATAAAGAAATAAAGCTGGAGGCAAGCGTTAACATTTATATTAGTTAGGTTAAGGTGCATACGTTTTAATACCGTAGGGTCTCAGCTACAATATTACATTAGTTAAGTTATTCTCCATAATTAATAACACTGAAGGGTCTTAATATGTATAAAGCAGCATTTTATATAGTTTATTATCTTTAAAATCTTTATATTAGTTACAATATTTCTACATATTTTTGTGTTGTATGATCTTCATTTTTTTATGTGTAAAATATTTTATATATTTAGCATTTTAAGTCAGACAAAGTAGTATTTTATATGTGCTTGTAGGGTTTTAGTCCCTAGTATGTACATTTTTCAGGTCAAAAAAGGGGTTTTAACCTGAATGTTTTAACTTGTTAGGTTTATTTGTAGCACCAATCCTCATCTTTTTTCTTTTTTGGTGCAGACATTTCTGAGTTCTCTCTACTTCTACACATTGTTGTTTCCGTCGAGGTTCAGGATTTTATATTGTAGTGAAAAATGAGCCACAGTGACTGGAAATGTGACAAGAACAGAAAAAAAAGGAAAAAAGAACCCCAAACTACATGGGATTCAGAAGGTTAACACAACTTTCAAACCCTCTGATCAACACAGGATTCTTGTTGCCGTTGGACGGTGAAGCCTCCTAATGTTGACTACAGCTCATGACAGTTAAACACCACAATACACAACATAATGCATGGGCACACTTAACGTTACTGTTGGTACAGTCGCTCCAGGAAGGAAGGATTTAATTAACGCTTTAATTTCATTGGAATTTCCACTGACCTCTGTTTTCACTTTTAATTAATTCGTTTAGACAATAACACGGTTAAACTGCTGATTGGGTTACAGCCCAGGTAGCCTGATGTAAGACTTTCACTGCTCTCAGTGACAAACAGAGACGGAATATTCAGAGTACAGATCTCACAGTTACGCTCTTTTACTTATATGAGCGAAATATTGTTGAATTGAATGATTTTTCCAACATAATCGCGCATCTTAAAACCCATGATACAGAACAGAACATTTATATTACGTTCCCATCTGCAAGTCTCTTCTGATTTGAGTCACTGTCACTCGCCTTGAATCGATTCGACGCCACGCGATGCGTTCAAACGTTCAAACAGCCGCGTTGCAGCTATTAATAGCAGCTGGGTTCTGAGTGCAGCACTAACCAGATTAAATGGTTACGCTCTCGCTTTCACTCATCCTGACAACTGTAAACATGTGCATATGGTGTGTTTTTTTTTTATTTATTATTCCCCCCCGTCCTTCTCGCTGCAGGTCCCATCAGCAGCATCCTGGTCAACACGTACGGCTGCAGGCCCATCGTCATGATGGGAGGCTGCCTCTGCGCCACCGGCATGATCTTGGCTTCCTTCTGCAACGACGTGGTGCAGCTTTACATCTGCATCGGCGTTATCGGCGGTAAGGCCGGCCAAATCCACTTAAGTGCGTTTTGAGCTGATTTGATTAACAGCAGGTTAAAAATACGACACAGGAGCAGAGTTTGTTTTCCTCGCTCACTCTGTTGTGAGCGATATTTTTAGATTCTAAACACCACCTCACAACTTAATATTACATATTGTGGCCTGAATCCACTGAAATAATTGGCTCCCATGATCAAAGGTGAAATTTTGCTCGCTGAACTGTATATGTTTTAGTCGTATTTTTGAAATCTATTAAAGATCTGGTGCAACAGTTGTAGGGGTCGATACCCACATGTGGAGAGCAAACTAAAAACCGCCTTGTTTTGCACAGATTTAGCATTTTTACAGCTGTTTTTAAAAATGAACTTATTTTGTAACCTTAGGAAAGGAATTTTACGAGTGTATAATAATTGTAAATGATTTTTTAAAAAAGCTCGCTAATGTAAATTTAATTGGTCGCCTTATTACGTTATTATGAAACTTCTTATTCTATGTAATCGTACCATTATTGAACCCTCAGGGACAAATAAAGTGAGATCTGAATTGTATTACTCTCATATTTTCTCGGATGTATTGCTTCAATAACTTTAAACATGACAAGTTCTAATTCCTGTAACTCAGCCAAGTTTGTCAAAAGAAAATCTGTGATTTTTAGTTTTTCTTCATGCTGGATGTTCAAAAAAGTGAAATTCAAATAGAATTTTTTTTGCTGCTTGACACAAAAAGCAAAAAAGTTGTAATTTTCTGATAGAACATTGTTTAAATCTATTTAGGTGTTCTTGGATACACAAAAAACTCAAACATTTGTCCAAAATTACTTAAAATTTGTCTAAAACTACAGACTTAATGTGTGCCATTTCAGACATATGGTAAAATATTTGTCTAAAATTACACAAATTTGATTTAAAAAAAGGCCCAAAATAGCTTCCAAAATTAATCAAAAAATATGTCTTAAATGACAAAGATGTATCCAAAGTTGCTCAAAATTAGTCTAAAATCACAAATGAATGACACAAAATCTTTCAAAAGTTTAAAATTCATAATTAAGTTAATTTTGTAAACACAGTCTACAGTTCAGCCTAAAAATCTAGCGACTATCAGTAGTTATTTCTTGTTTTTACAGAATCTAGTCACTGCAAGAGTTTTATTTTTTAAGTGTGACAAGTACAATAAATAGATTTTGATGAAATATTCAGATTTTTAGTTTCGATTTTCTTGCTTTTACCCAACAAATCTGAAAGTCACACATGATTAGTTCAAGGACCGTTGGAAAAGTAAATATCCGTTGAGTCTTTCTGTTAAATAAATGGTACAATTTTCCTGATTTTTAAAAAATAACTTCCCCTGTGTTCAGAGGTTTAAAGTCACCCATGTGGCTATAGTTAGCTTCTTCTTAAGCTAGCTAGCTCAGAGGTATGTGGCTACTTCTACTAAAGATTTATTTCAGTTAGTTTCTTATTTAGTAAAAAGTACTCAATCATGTTTGAAAGTGTTCTTGAGTTCTGATTCTGCATCACTTGTGCAAATCTAATCTACTTCTGTCACCGTAGGACTCGGACTAGCCTTCAACCTGCAGCCAGCATTGACTATGATCGGCAAATACTTCTTTAAGAAGCGTCCCATTGCTAATGGACTGGCGATGGCCGGCAGCCCCGTCTTCCTCAGCACTCTGGCTCCTCTAAACCAGTACCTGTTCAATAAGTTCGGCTGGAGAGGCAGCTTCCTCATCCTGGGCGGCCTGCTGCTGAACTCCTGCGTGGCCGGTTCCCTCATGAGGCCGCTGGGGCCGCCGCCCGGCAAGGTCAAGAAGGACGAAGAGCTGGCCGCTGTCACCACCACGACGAAGGAGAAGCGCAGCGCCTGGCAAATCGTGAACAAGTACCTGGACTTGACGCTGTTCAAGCACCGCGGCTTCCTCATCTACCTGTCAGGCAACGTCATCATGTTCCTGGGCTTCTTCGCGCCCATTGTCTTCCTCGCCGCCTACGCCAAAGACATGGGCGTGGACGAGTACTCCGCCGCCTTCCTGCTCTCGATCCTGGCTTTCGTCGACATGTTCGCCAGGCCCTCCATGGGGCTGCTGGCCAACTCGCGCTGGGTCCGGCCCAGGATCCAGTACTTCTTCAGCTTTGCGGTGCTGTACAACGGGGTGTGCCATATCCTCTGCCCGCTGGTTGAAAGCTACACCGGCTTGGTGGTGTATGCGGTGTTCTTCGGCTTTGCCTTCGGGATGGTTAGCTCGGTGCTGTTTGAGACACTGATGGACCTGGTTGGAGCTCAGAGGTTCTCCAGCGCTGTGGGGCTCACCACCATCGTGGAGTGCTGCCCGGTCCTCATTGGTCCACCATTAGCAGGTACAATCCTCCTGTTTGTCGGAGTGTATTTCATTCACTTACATGTACATTTTTTCTGTTTACGCTCTTAGAAGTAGAAGAGCTTCAAGGAACCATTTTGGGTTCCTCACATTTGCGACTATGGAGGAAACTTTTGAGTTCAAAGGGGTTTTTTGTTTTTTGTTTTTTATAGAAAAGAATGCAGATTAGATTGCTTGGAGCAGTTTGTCCAGCAGGGTGGCTCCATTGTTTATAATACTCTAATACACTGTCTGCAGCACATGTAGCAGAGCACAGGGTGGTGCGGAGTCGAGCGGTGTCTTCACAGTAGTTTGTTAGCTAGTTTCTAAAGTTCACAGCTTGAAAGTTATTGAACAATGACCCCATAATTTTCCCTTTTTATTATACCTCTGACTCAACATTATCCCTAGACTTAAGGCCTCGACTTTGTGGTTTCTGTTTGAAGTTAGTAGCTGTAGAACCCCTGCAGCTGGTGAGCTAACTGCTAACATGATAGTCATCCAGAAAATACATCCAAAAAAGCTATTTTGGTTGCCAGAGGATACAAACATTAGCTTACAAGACACTAAGTTCCCTTAGTTTATTCACACATTGGACCATTGTCTCATTCGTGTCTCTTTGTTTCCTATTTTAATGTGTTTTTCCCCCGCAAGTAAATCAACTGATTGTCAAATTTCCATGGACATAAAAACAACTTTATGCCATGATTCTGTCAGTAAATGTGGGTTTGGCCGGTATATGCGTTTAATAATATAAATTAGCAAAAGCTGACATTAAGATATGCTTTCTGTTTCATGTATCTGAATTCTGTATGTAATAACTGTGGTAATACCTTAAAACTGAAAGACTTTGTTCTGTCTTTACAGGGAAACTGGTTGATGTCACCAAAAACTACAAGTACATGTATTTCTGCTGTGGAGCCGTCGTCATTCTGGCCAGTATTTGGCTCTTCATCGGAAACTTCATCAACTACAGACTCTTGGAGCGCGAGCGCAAGCACGCGGAGATGTACAAACGGACTGAGACGGAAGATCCGGACCAAGTTCAGGATCAGAAGGAGGCGGATGGGGAAGCCCAGGCCGTCGAGGATCTGACCGACAAAAGTCCAAAAGAAGGGGAACCTATGCAGCGGGAAACCAACATCTAGATCGATCTACTCTGCCAACGGCTCGACCTGGGAACACCGCGATCAAACTGAGCCCCAAGCCAAGAGGTGCCTCCCGGTGTTCCACCAGGCTCTGTTTGGGGTCCTCTGTACTTGTGTAAAACTAACTGCCAAAGCAACAATTGCGTTTTAGGGTGTTGTGAGGCATAAAATCTGTTTGTCAGCCTGTGACGATGACAGAAATATTAACCAGAGAGTAAAAGTGTAAGATACTGTATGCATGTGAAGAGGCTAAAAGTCAGAAAATGTCAGTGGAAACCACTATAGTACTAACTGTGTTTTCTTTTTTGCCACATTCACCTCATATCGGATATACTGTAAAGACTGCCACAGGGGGACAAACACCGGTGGCAGCTGGAACCAAGCTGTGAGATTATTTTAGCAGCAAATCCACAAATGTCAACAGATATAGGAAATTAGTTAGGTTAGTTATGTCCCCACAAGGTAAAATATTCCAGACCGTAGCAAGAAGTCATTCCGTTTTTTTCCGACTGTCTTCTCCGATATGACGTGAATGCAAACATCAGTGTGTTGCCACTGTTCCAACAGCACCAGCAAACTGAATCCACATGTTCAAAATCAGATACGTCTTCTTCACGATATCCTTAGAAAGGTCACGTTAACCCTCTGAACCCGAGCAGTTTCTGGGCATTTTTTTGGTGACGTTTTTATTCACTGTAGGTCCACTTTTCACTGCAATATAAAGTCCTGCACCTCTATGGAAACAACACAACCATGACTAGAAGTAGAGAGAACTCAGACATGTCCTCTGTGCAGTATGACACAGATAAAATGCCATTAATCATAAACTATAAAAAATGAAGGTTGAATTTCTTTGATTGTTTGCAAAAATAGCAAAAAAAAAATTGAATTACTGTGTAGAACATTTTTCGCACAAGTTGTTACCAATACTGGAAAAAAATGTGGCTCCTACAGTATATAATATAGACGTTTTACTACCTCGATTATTCATTAGTTTCCATATTGGTTTGCTATCTGTTCTGTGTCAGTTCAGCCAAAAAATTATGAATTTTTGTCATGTGACTGTTGGGCACAGCTGAATCACTGATGGCTTTATGGTTGCGATGAAAAGTGCAGAATTTTTTGTTTTTTGTAGAATTTGGTTTATGCAAATGATTTATTTTTGGCAAATATTTAAATGATTTTGATGAAATATTTCTACCTTAAGAGTAGATTTATCCAACAGGAGTAGTTCAAGGACTGTCGGAAAGTTAAAAGTCCGATGATCTTATTTGTTTTTACACTTTTTTTTTTTCAAAGATAGAGTCCTTCCATACCCGCCGGCGGGTTTTGGGGTTCAGAGGGTTAATAAACAGAGGTGATGAAAGCATTTCTTGGTGGTTAAAAAAGCATTTCTGTCACTAAAAGGCCACTGGTTTAATGCGAGCATCGGCCAGTGTCTGTTACTGGTGACGTCTGGAGCAGCACTGATCTCTGTGTGTTCTCACCACGAGCTACTTGGCGTATTCGTTGCATTTTTCACATTTCGTGGGCAGTTAGAGCAAAACCAAACGAAGCAATTTAAGAAATTCCCATCTCCCATAATGACGGATCCGCCCATCCTCCGAGCATCAACCTTTCAAATCAGAGTCGGGGAGGCTTGTGGGGGGGAAGAAGCTCCTGATTGTGTGTCACTCGGCGGTCGGGCGCCCTGATATCCCCACCTCCATAAACACGGAGCAGATGTGCTCACAGCTGGCGAGCACCGTGTAGTAAAAACCTGCACAAACGTCCCACTTTAACGCTTTCGATCAAGTCGTAAAGTGCTGCATTAACCGTCCCGGGTTCCATATTCTCGCTGCACTAAAAAAAGAAAAACAACGGCCACACTTCACCCCGAACATCTTTATAAAACTGCTGCAATTCAGTGAATTTAATTATGGTTGAATGTAATTTCCTCTGTGGGCCTTAATAAGGTATTAATGACCAAAAAACAAAAAAAAAAACCATAACCATCTGCATAATAGTGGTTTTCTACACACAGAGCCCATGAGCAATATCCTCTCTCTCGTATTTTAATGCAGATATACAGGGAAATGTATTTCTAGTGGCCAGTGAGTGTCCATTTTGTGATACATTGCCTTAAATGTGACGGGGAGTTGTACAGTGAATAGTATTATATGAAGCTGTGTGTTTAACGTGACCCTTTTTTTTTTGTTTGTTTTCGTTTGTCGTGGTCAACTTTAAATCTCATGAGTGTGCTCTCGTGTCCTGTGGCGTCCGTCATCACTAATTCACATGAACTAACACCAGTATATTAAAAGACAAACAAACATCTGAAGGAGTATGCTACTAATTAACGAATGCTAATCGATCCGACGTGTATAGTGTGCACTTAAATATACTGGATGTCACGTCTGTTGCTGTAAATGTCGATGTCGTTAATCAATATTCTATCCATTCCATGTGATCGTTTTCCGTCGCCCCGCTTTGGTTTTCGTCTGAGCGAAAACGGTGTCCGAACGAATTACTTTCAAAGCAATCGTGAACAAAGAAGGAAAAAACAAAAAATGTTTGTGGCTCAACAAATGGGATCTTTTTTTCTTTTTCTTGTAAAACATTTGCACATCATATCGATTGCATTTTGGAATTTCCCAAAATGCACTTTGGTTCACCAGCATTTCACGCTAGTCGTCATCATCCGACAGTATTTTTCTATTTTCACGTGTGCAGCCTCCTCCTCATGACTTTGTTTCCTCTTTCTTCCTGCTCGCCGTTTTTCTCTCTTTCTTTCTTTTTTTTGTTTTTTGCGTGTCACTGTGCTCACTGATGATTGTCGACGAGGGAAATCGACTGCTGTACAATCACTTTCTACCAAATAACACTGCCCCCTGCTGGTTTCACACCACCCAGACCAAAATGCAAAAGAAAAGCTTCCCAAGAGAATATGCATCAGTACTTTACTTCTTTCCGTTATGAACTTGAATATAACTTCTTAGTATTTAAACGTCTACAGATAGAACAAATGCAGAAGCCAGGGAGGATATCAGTGAGTGTTTTTATTGCACATAGAATTATATTTTGCTTATAATCGGACACTAAGCAGGGAAGAGCGTAATGCCGCAAAAGGGGTCAAGAGATCATCAACACTTTGGGGAAATGATTCAAAGTTCTGAGCAGGAATGAATAATAAAAATCAAATAACACAAGCTTGACATCGTTTGGTAAGATGTTCTCCTTAATATATATTATTATTAGTTCTAATGACGTGCACCGATAGCCTTATCAATTAAACTGCTTAGCACCTCATATGGTAGATTTATTTCTTTTTTTTTCAATGTGTGGATATTTAGATTTATTTTGAGGTTTGCTTACGACCAAATTTAGCTGAGAGATTACCTTTAAATGAATATTAAATACTCTCTGCCCCTCCTTCTTGGATTACTTTCGTAGACGATAGAAGGAAATGTTCACTTTAGTTTGTTTAACGAGTATGTTAGTGTAATTAATTTTTTTCCTGGTGTGTGGAATCAACGTGCAGACTGGAATAGATGTCACTTTACTGTTAGATATGCAGGGCCGAGTTTATCGCCATGTGGAGCGACTGCAGATTGGAGTTTAAGTCACCGCTTCAATAATCAAGTTGGTTAAACCACAAAATTATAGTTTTTCTGGTATTGGAGCAAAATTAAATGATCTGTTGTTGGAATTGTGTGTTCTGGGCTCGAATGTGTGCCAATTAAATTGAAAGTACACATTCAAAACTTCATTAAGAAAAACCCAAATTTAAAAAAAAGCAAACCAGCAGAATTCCAATCTGCAGAATTAAATCTTCCAACATGTATTTTAATTATCTGTTTTTTAGAATGTTGTGTTCTGGGTCTGATTGTACTGCAGTGAAATTGAATGTTAAATTTGAAACAGAATTTTCACATTCAAAACTTCATTCAGAAAAACGCAAATTTAAAAAAACAAAACAAACCAAAAGAATTGCAATCTACAGAATGAAATCCTCTAACACATGTTTTAGTGATCTGTTTTTTTTTTTTAAATTGTGTGTTTCGGGTGTGATTGTACTGCAATTAAATTGAAAGTAGAATACTGAGAAATTAACACTGAATTTTCACATTCAGAAAAACCTAATTTAAAAAAAAATTAAGAATTCCAATCTGCAGACGGAAATCCTCCAACGTGTACTTTAATGATTATGTGTTCTGGGTCTGATTGTAACTGCAATTGAATTGACTGTTGACTTTTAAGAAATTGAATCTGAATTTTTTACATTCAGAACTCTATTCAGGAAAACGATATTTAAAAAAAAAAAAAAAATCAGAATTCCAATCTGCAGAATAAAATCCTCCAACACATGTTTTAATGACCTGTTTTGTGGAATTGTGTGTTCTGGGCTTGAATGTACGGCAATGAAGCTAAATGTCCAATTTCAAGAAATTGACACTGAATTTTCACATTCAAAACTCCATTGAGAAAAATGGTATTTTTAAAAAAATGAAGAATTCCAATCTACAGAAGGAAATCCTCCAATGTGTGCTTAATGGTCTCCTTGTTGGGTTTATGTCTTCTGAGTCTGATTGTCCTGCAGTGAAATCGAATGTTGAGTTTTGAGAAGTTGAATTTTCACATTCAGAACTCCATTTAGAAAAACAGAAATTTTAACAAACAGAAATTCAATCTACAGAATGAAATCCTCTAACACACGTTTTAATGATCTGTTTTTGGATTTATGTGTTCTGGGCTTGAATGTACGGCAGTGACTTGAACATGAAATTAAAACAGAATTTTCCCATTCAGAACTCCATTCAGAAAAATCACGATTTAAGAAAACGCACAACACACAACAACAAACAGAATTCCAATCTGCAGGATGAAGTCAATCCTCCAACACGTGTTTGGAGCTCTCATTCCGTTATCAGGACGTGGTTAAAAAAGATCGGCACGTGTTGGTGTTGATTGTGTACAAGTTGCTTTGCTACTGGGAGGCTGAAGGATCGAAACATCTCTGGCTGTTAAAGCTAACTGTGCCTTATTGTGCTAAAAATCGACCATTATGAACATGAACGCTGGTGTCGCGACACTTCCTGTCCTCGCTTGAGCTGTTTGTATGTTTACAAATCACTGCGGTGTTTCGTTTTTTTGTTTTTTGTTTTTCTGTAAATAGTCGACATATGTAGCTACATATCAGAAGTTCACTCCACCTCTAAAACCACGTACGAACAAATGAGCTGTCGACGTGAGAATGTGTAGCACCGAATCTCGATGTTTATTCAGTCTGACAGTGTGTGTTGTGTAATTTATATGGCTTTGTACACTCGGTCAAAGATGCAAATATTTTCTGCGTACGTTTAAGGGCAGTTGTGTTGGGTAGCTTGTCCTTCCAGTAGCAGACGTACTGTGTGCTTTCTCATCAGGGCAACTTTAACGGCGCGGCACCGTCAAGGCCGTGCTTCAGATTATGTCAGTCTTTCCGCTACCTCTGCAGCCAGAGTTTTTGGGGAGGGGGGAAAAGAAACCACACGGGTATAGAAAACTAAATTATGTTTTTGTAATTCTAATATGAAGATATCACCTCTCACACTAGCTGAATAAAGTATATATATATCCAAGTGAATCTGTGAGTCTGTTTGATTGATGTTCGATGTCTTGATTCTTAGATCTTGTGCTGCTGTCTTGTCATTGGGTGGTTTCTTTGAGGAGCGCTCGC